AAAAAAAAAAAAAAGCCCAGGGGGGTAGAGGCTGCAGTGAGCCCTGATGGCACCAGTGCACTCCAGCCTGGGCAACAGAGTGAGATCCCATTTCAAAACAACAACAAAAGACAAGGTTGGTAATAAAGACTATAGTAAGATAAAAATAGAGCAATTTAAAAGTATAAAATATTAACTAAAAGAATAGAAAAAACAAAAAGAATATGATGATGATGAATGCCTCCTGGTAGACATAACATCTTTCAAAACGTGGGGACTTGACAGAGAACTGGCAGTGAAATGCTGAAATTGACCTGATCTGGCTCATGGCCTGTGCCTCCCACCCCCTTCCTGCCCCCACTCAGCCCCTCACCACCCCTCCAAGCCCTGCCCTGGCACTCGCACTCTGCACTATGGCAACACCAGCCTGGCAGGGTTTCTATGCACAGCCTACTCTCATTGCCCTGCACTGGCCTATGCCAATCCACCGCCTTTTTGAACCTGGTGAAGTCTACAATGCTTTCATCTCCCCTTCAGGAATCTGTGTTCTTGGTCAGGGGTAGGTCCTCTTTTGTGAAGTATTTGTTTGGGTATTTTGCCCATACTTTCCACTGGGATGTTTTCTTACTGATTCACAGGATTTTAAAAAATATATTTAGGATACTAATTATTGGTCAGTTCCAGACACTGCAAATAATTTTGTTTGTAGCTTGTCTTTTCACCATATTTACGGTGTCGTGAAAGTCGATCACATACATTGGGTCATTCTCATCACACCCAACTAAAACAGAGTCGAGAGGCGGGGAGAAAGCACCCAGGGCACGCAGCACTGCTCCAGGAATGTCATTCTCCGCAGCCTGGCTGCTGAGGCCGCCTGCTCCAACCTGAAGCCAGTCTTATCTGATAGCTACTGACACCACCTGCTGCAACTCCAAGACTACTTTTACTCACTGGCACTTGCCAGTCGGAGGTTGCCAGTGCCCCAAAACTTTGTTTTGTGTCAAACACAAAACAAAGTGAATTCTCAAAATAATACCTAACATTTTTATAATGCCCCTCCTTTTTATAAAACCTCCAACCTTCTCTGTTTTTCAGACATACTGAAGACTGCCCAGCCTGTGTGTGTACCTCAAATTGTAATTCTTGCTTCCCAAATAAAATTTTTAAATTTAGAGATTCATCTCTGTATTTTGACTTTGACAGTGTCTTTTGATGAGCAGAAGTTACTTTTAACGTTGCCAAATGTATGATTCTTTTCTTCTTTGTCCTTGTCTGGTTCAAGAACTCTTTCTCCATTCTGGGGTCATGAATATGTTCTTCTACATTTTCATCTATAAGCTTTGTAATTTTGCTTTTCAAAAATAGATTTTTCACTTTGGGAGGTCAAGGTGGGCAGGTTGCTTGAGCCCAGGAGTTGGAGGCCAGCCTGGGCAACCTGGTGAAACCCCATCTCTACAAAAAATACAAAAATAATCTGAGCATGGTGGTATACACCCGTAGTCCCAGCTACCTGGGAGGCTGAGATGGGAGAATGGCTTGACCCCTGGAGGTAGAGGTTGCAGTGAGCCCTTGTACCACTGCAGTGAGCCTTTGTACCACTCAGCCTGGGTGACAGAGACAGACCCTGTCTCAAAAAAAAAAAAAAAAAAGCCCAGGCACAGTGGCTAACACCTGTAATCCCAGCACTGTGGGAGGCTGAGGCGGGTGGATCATGAGGTCAGGAGATCAAGACCATGGTGAAACCCATCTCTACTAAAAATACAAAAAATTAGCTGGGCGCGGTGGCAGGCACCTGTAGTCTCAGCTACTCAGGAGGCTGAGGCAGGAGAATGGCGTGAACCCAGGAGGCGGAGCTTGCGGTGAGCCGAGATCA